TTTTAAATTTGGTATTGACATTTTAAAATATATAAAGAGTATATTTGTTCTTTTATATTTTTTTAAAAATGAATACTTCTGATCTTGAACAAAATTCTGAGAGTTCTCCTTGGAAAAATCTATTCTGAAATCTATATTTCGTTATATCGATGTATTTGATTCATTTTTTTTTTTTGAATAAAATATAAGGAATATATTTATTATTTATATTTTTTTTTATAAATATATGTTAAATATTTTTTATTAGTTTAAAAAAATGCCAAAAGATAAAAAAGAAAAGCGTATAAAAAAAAGAAATAAAAAAATTTATGAAAAACAATCTGTAATTAAACTAAATTATGATTGTATTTTTAATATAGTATCAATTTATCTTCCTTTAAAGATAACTTTATTTGATCAAAAATATAAAAACATAAAACAAGTAAACAGAGATTTTTATTTGAGTTATCAGAAGATTTTTAAACAACGAGCAACTAAATATATTTTGATGAAAGAATATGATTATAAGACATATGCCTTACCTGTTATTTATAATTTTCAACTTCAACAATATAAAAATAATAGATTATTTGCTATATTTTATGATGAAGAAAAAAAGAAACGAAGACTTGTTAGAATAAATAATAAAACAATTCAAAAAGAAAAATTTTATATAAATGATTCTAAAAAAAAATACTATTTAATTAACTCATTAGAATATAGTGAAGATAATTATAAAAGTATTTGTACAAAATGCAAAAATTTTGATTTTTGTAAAATTAATTTTCATTTTCAATGTAATATAGAAAATTGTTCTGGAAATCTATTAGATCAATCTTTACATATACATAATTTTTGTAAAATTTGTTACGATGAATATTATAATATTTGAGTAAATATATTTAATAAAACTATAAAAGATCAATAATTTTCTCATTTTAACTTAAAAAAAAAATTGTTTTAATTTAAATAAATAAATTAAAAATGATTTTTTTTGTTTTATTATTCTCGTATCTTATTATTTACAAAATATTAGATATGATTGAAATCTCAAAAAAAGAATATTTAAAATATCAAAAACCATCAAATATTTATGATATTGTTTTACTCGTAGCAAAGAAAACAGATTTTAGATATTCAACGGAAAAAGAACTATTTTACAACATGTTAGAAAAAATAATGGATAAAGAATTATTATCACTAGAAGAAAAAAATAAAATCATTAAAGAGTATTCAGAATTTAATGATATCTTAAACAAAAAATAAATTTTTATTTAAATTTATTAATATATAAAATAAATATATACAAAATAAAAAAAAACTATTCGTTTATGTTATCATCAATAATTTCTTCGATCACTTCTACAATTAATTCTTTTGGTTCATTTGAATCTTTTACTAATATTTGTTTTTTTCTTTCAATTTCTTTTTTAATATTTTTAACTATATTTTTAGACTGACAAATTAATATTTTCATTTTTTTAGCTTGTTCATATGAATTTTCAGAAAAATTTTTATTAGTAACGATCACACCACTATCTTCAGGATGATATGCTTTAATAAACCCATTTACTCGTTCGATATCATTAAATCCAATATTTTTTACACTTCTAAATTTACAACAAATAAATATTTTGAAGTCTTCATAATCAGCAACAAGATATTTATCACGGTCTGAGTAGAATAATTCATCTTCATTTTCATAACTTCGACATGTAAACCCTTCATTATTTAATAATTTCATTATATCTTCTTTATATTCTTGACATAATTCAGTAATTTTTTTCTCCTAAATAAAAAAAAATATTATAAGTACATCATATTTTCATCGTGCCTTTTAGTAGGAACACTAACCTCGCCCAATCTCTAAAGTTCTCAGATTTACACTAGGCGATTATTTTACCGGAGACCAGACATAAAATCTCACTCAACTGGCAGCGTAACTTATATCTGAGAACACACTTAACATGCAATACTTAGTATAAG